CTCAAAAATATTGAAAATAGAGCAAACAAACTGAAAGATATATCTAAATTAGTGAATTCTTTATTGGACAATATTTGTAATCGTAACCAGTGTTCTGACTGACTCATTCTCATCATTCTTTCACAATATAACCTGTAAAATCAGAAAATATCTCAGTGAAACAAACGATTCTATTAATTTTCTACCTTAAGTTTATGATAATCTTGAAAATGTTTTTTTTTGTTTGATTATCAACTTTCATCGTGATTTTGGGTGTAAAGTCGGTAATTCTCCGCAATTTAGCACTGAAAATCATTTAATTAGTAAGAAAGAAAGTATTGTTGTTTTAAAATAAACCTTCTTCTGAAGGCATTAGTAACATCCCACATGGACTATGCAAATTCTCTTCTATTAGGAGCACCAGAAACAGCTTTAAACAGACTACAAATAGCGCAAAACAATGCTGCACGTCTCATAACTAAAACACGAAAATTTGATCATATATCAGCTAAGTTACAGAAACCCCATTGGCTTCCAGTTCGAGCGAGGGTTCAATTTAAAGCTCTTGTGAATGTGTTTAAATCAATTTATTCTGACACCGCACCCAGTTATTTAAAAGAACTCTTTGATTTCTATACTCCCTGGCGATCCAACCTTCGTTCTTCAAGTGATCGTAGCATATTGATGATCCCCAAATATAATAAGCGTTCTGGTGAATATGTGTTAGACATGCGACAGTGCTTTGTGTCAATAAACAGAATATTTCTTAATGTTCTATTTCTTATTTTTCAGATTATTTTTAAATAACAACTTCCTGAATAAAATTCTTTTTTTAAAAAAAAGAAATAGAACTTCATAGATTTAGTCGATCTACAAAATAGATTTTTATCTAAATATATGATAGTTGGTTGCAATGGGCAGGGAAAAATATAAATAGCGGAAATATAGACACAAGGCGAGTTGCTGATGTCTGGGAGGCTTTATGTTTACATGCATTGAGATCAAAGATAAGTTCTTTCGATTTACAAAATTGATTTTTATCTGACGGTTTAATATTTGTAATAACCAGGAATAATAAACATATAACCCAATGAATTAAATAATAAGTAGTTCAGAGAGTCACGCGATGAATCTACCTGGTCGTGCAATGAATTGAAGTCCTGCGTCCTGTGTCAAGGTAGGGTGCCCCACCATAAATAAATATCTCGACAATTACACCACAATATTTATATATACACCAAGCCTTAAATCAGTTTCAAACATTTATAGTCACTAAATAACGGTCATGCTGTACTTAATAAGCTATGGGCATTTAATCATCCATAAATAATACACTGAAAGATGATTACGAGTGTCGGTCGGACATAACATCCGAGCACATGTGAGTAAAAATAGGTTACGTGCCCTTGTTTTGAAAGTATTCTCACTTAACCAGTCTTCTGACCATTCTACGTTTGATTGACAGGCCGGGATAACCAAGACTACTTTTTTTACGAAACATAGCAGAAAGCTGCAACAAGAAATTGAATTTAGAAACAGGAACGTTGGGCAACTCAACAATTGTTTTAAGAACCTTGTAAAAGTAAAATGAAACTACTGCTAGTTTCATGTTCTTGCCCAACGCAAGTATTTCAGAGATATTATTTGTACTAAACCAAAAGATGCCGCTCCTAACGGTACAGTTAATGATAAAGCAAATTAAAAAAAAAACCGAACGTAATTTCTACAGCTACTGTAATAACCAATAAGCTAAATATTACTGCTATTCAGAATCGTCAACAATATATTTTTTACGGCTGTAATAGTCGATAGATGTGTATAGAATTGCACGTGCGATGGCTATTTATAGTGTCATTCAAATAAAATTGAACCATATGACCTAGTTTTTGTCGAGGGACATTACCCCCCCCCCCACTTCTCTCTCGTAATGCTATAGTTGAATTGATTATTAATAGGCTGGTAAAAGGCGACAAAATCCACCGACGTAAACCCGAAGTGCAACGCCTATGTCGAGATGTCCTTATACCCCATATATTTTAAATCTGGAAAGGCAGTTATTAGATACTAGCTTATGGAAATTTCTTGAAACCAAAAATAGTAAGTTCTAGTGCAACACCACCCGGTCTTTGTCGATACCGGACTCGACCTGACCCTATACCCCAAATTACAGCCCCTTGGTACACCTAGTGTAGCCTCTGACCAAGTTTAGCTGAGTTGTGACTGTCTTTTGTCCGTTTGTTTGTCTGTTCGAGGTTGGCGGCTACACCATATATATATATTTTGCACCCAACAAAGGGAATGAAATGGAATTATATGGTGTTTAACGTTCTACTATTCTACTCTGAGGGGACTAAAAAAAGACGGCCATACGTCTGACAGTGTGCTATGAGGGCAATTTTGCCCGTAAAGTGGCACTGCGACATACTCTTATATCGAATTTCAACCGCCAACGTCCCATCCAAACGACTATACACTATCCCTTGCCATGGCTTCTGTCTTGCACCGCCGGAAGATCCCTATGAACTTTCGCGGGTAACGCAGGAATCAAACACGGGACCTCCACGTTAGCGTGTTACATTATTTGTTCTTTACGATGACAACATTGATTTAACTTCATATGATACTTTTATTGTTCTTCAAACACATATCAAGTACAAAACGTCTTCTGGTAAAAGACTCTGTAATTAGCCTGTGTTATGGGAGACATGGTCTTCGCGTGGCTTGGCACACACGGGTGCCAACTCCCAACTAACTTACATGGCCGCTCTCCGGTCTTAACTAGAGACCTGTCTGGTCCCAATTAACTTCTAACTAACTTCCGGATCTCTTCTTTATACACCTGGCCATTGTCAGATGTTAAGATGATTACACAGCTATATATATGATATAGATAATGCTATAGATAGGCTTCCTGTACAAATTACTTTACAAGACAACACACATTACATGAATCAACTATCTTGTCATAAGTGACAACTGACATGATAAGGATTTAATTTATCCTGTCACATGTCAAAGATGGCATACCCCAATTGTGTAACAAGCGATCCAACGTCTGATTCACTGAGCCATCGTGGCTCCCATCCAACAAAGGATAGAATTAGTTTTTGTATCACTAAGAGTTAGGTCTGTTATTCAATAAGCAATCTTAGGCTGCCAGTTTAGCCGAGATAGTGTCGAATATTCAGATGTATGATTGGACTTAAGTGATTCATTGGGGTCTTTAGTTTGACAGAGGCAAGATTACAATAATTTTACACACAGCTAATTAGTGTCTAGTCGGGTAATGCATTTAATGTGGTTGTAATACTGAGAGAAAAACACGTACATCTTGAAAGTGGGCTAATGCAGTCAAAGTAGCAGACATGCATGTCACAATATTTGACATATGGGATGTGTACAAGAGCAGGCTTATTAGATTCGATTTATGATATTCAACTATAGCGTCGATTTTCATATTGAACATTAATAAATCGATCCGGATCGTCTATTACTATTTCTGCTCAATCAAAGTGATACTCATTATATCCGAAAGAACCTTTTCACGATGATATGACTTTATTTTGAGACTAATGTGCTGTAATCTATGTTCTAACGCCTCTTAAATGCCCTGTTGACGATAGTATAAAATGACACAAGCCCCTGGCCATACTGTAGACGTAACATGACACCGGCCTACCCATACTGTAGACGTAACATGATACCAGCCTCTGTCCATACTATAGACGATAGTATAACATGACACCAGCACCTGGCCATATTGTAGACGATAGTATAACGCCGGTCCCTACCGATAATGTAGACGACAATTGTGATTATAGAAGAAACATGACAACAGTCGATAGTATTGTTAGTGCCATCTAGAAAAGGTATTCGGGTGACGATTAGCGCAAAGACCAGTTCCATGTTTAATTATTATTGTTATTCCCTTAGTTGCTCTGGTAGGTAGGAACATCAATTAATTACCAATTAATTGATTAAATCTCGAGGGACCATATGTCTTATATACATACAAACCGAACTCCGATGATGCTTGTTCTAGGCCTACATGGTGTGGTGAAGTGGTAAACTGGTCGTTATTTACACACATAAATGTATCACAGAGCTTCAATCTGCGGGATTTTGCAATCATAAAAATCTCAAATAAAACGAGTTTTAACGTCTTTCCTCTCTGGCGTGGTTCCACCTAGTACAGAGAGTCTGTCGTTCGCATGGGAGGAAAAACCGAGGCCCCGTGTACACATTGGCGTGCACGTGAAATAACCCTTAGCAGTTGGAATTCGATATAAGAGTTGGTCATAGTGCCACTCTTCGGACTGTATAGCGTATGCCGGTTGTCATAAGCCCAGTTGGGACAGAACAGTAGGTAGGACGTTAAACCCCATTTTATTTCATGTAATTTCGTACCTTTCTGTGTAACCCTGGCAAATGAAAAGGGATACGCAAAGCAGTGTGCAGTGTGAAAACTTGTGCCCAGACAGCGGCGTTTCAAACGTGTTCTCTTGCCTGTTCATCGAATTCCCGTAGTCTAGGATTATTTACCGTCTACGCCATCTCTAGTGCACGGGTGGTCCTCGTCCTAATCGAATAAGCAGGAACTTCCCCCTTGCTAAAGCCCACCCACCCTGCCATACACTGCTAACAGAAGAAATGTGGCAGCAAAGTGCCGAGAAACGACCACAATCAACACTTGGATCGAATTCGGGACCTCCTGTGAGTGATCAGTGAAAACCCACGAGGTTAGACAGGCTGTCCTACTCCTTGTCACGTACAACACGAAAACACGCCAGTTGACTCAATGACAGACCTTATGATACAGCGCATACATGCTAACCATTCGGTAATCACCCCCCCCCCCCACACGCTCCTGTGAGTGATCAAGCGTCATACTTACTTACCCACCGCGGAGGTAGAGGGTTCCTTAATAAACAACATATTTACTTTCATATACTGCAATGGGATTAACAAATAGGCCACAGGGGTCGTTTCTCGTGCTTGTAAATAGAAGTCTCACACAGATGAAGCAGTTATCTTTATTAAAAATAATATTTAATGACCATCAAACAAACACAAAATGTAAAACAAAATCCAACAGAACTAATCGCTATGCAGAACAAAGTTAATTGGGAGAGAATATAGGACAACTTTCTTTCTTACTTATCTGCAATAAATCTTGCATTTAACATGTATGTGTTAAATTGGCTAAGAGAATTTGCGTAGGCTCGCTTGCCCGATTACCTTTCATAATAATATGTTATTCTTTTCTTGTGCTTTGTGTTTTTTAAAAATACAAACACATATTATATTAAAGCTTCTTCACTTTTTATCATCCGCTTTCAACTTCTAATTCGTGTCTTTTATTTAAATAAGAGAAATAATTGTTTAATATATTGTGTCTTGAAATATGTATACACTCAAAGCAAAGCATGCGTGAGCCTATCAGAATACAGCGATACCCTTCATGTCGTCACAGGCGGGTTCTCTGACATGATGCCAGCCACTAATTAATTCTGGGTATTTCTGAGTACTTAATTACAGAGTCTTTCTTTTTGTGCCATTCATATCCTAACTGATGACGTCACTCCAGGTCTTTGTTCTTGGATAATAGGCGTTGTTATTGATTTGAATAACTTTCTTTACGTGAAGGCTGTATACTGATGATGCGTAGCACTATTGTTACCTGGACACAATTGGTCTTTTAACGTCGGCTTCAACAGTAGTGACATCGCAGGCAACATTACCAGAGAGAGAGGGAGAGGGAGAGAGAGAGAGAGGGGGGAATGGAGTTTAACGTCCACTCGACACAGACTAGGTCATTTCGGGCCTAACACATGGTTCAATTTTCATTTCAATAATTGCGGGTAGGGTCTTTCGGGTAGGGTCTTTAGAAGTGAGTGTAAACCGGAGGACCCGGAGAAAACCCACAAAGTACGACAGGCCACCCTACTCCTTGTCACGTACAACCGGGGAATCGAAACCATGCCAGTTGACTCAATGACAGATCTTATGATACAGTGCGCACGTGCTAACTATTAGGCCATTCAACCACCCCGGCAACATTACCATCTTTGTCAGTTACCGTGATATAGTCATGACATAACACGCATATTATTTCGTCTGAAAAACACCAGCAACGTCCAGTTTAAAATATTTCAATATCTAATTAACAATCCTGTTCCTTTCTACTTTCGATTTTTTTGGTCTGTGTTGTAGCGAATGTTTAGACGATATTTAAGATGTATGAATTCACACTTCAGTTTTATGTACGTAACTTATGGTTTAAAATCATGTTCCCGTCTACTTTCGTTTTTAGTTCTTTGTTGTAGCGAATGTTTAGACGATATTTAAGATGTATGGGCCCACACTTCTCTTTTATGTACGCATCTGTGTCCGTTGATATTGCAGAGGTTTGTAAACTTTGACGTGCTACACTGTAATCAGAAGTCTATAATAGCATAAACTCATCTCGTGTTTTAGAACTGTTAAATGTGCTGGCTCTTTCTTTATTAAACACCCGTCGTAATTCCACCCGGAATTTCTTGCCAGACAAAACGTAAATAAAGAAATTTATACCATAATTAATCTGAGATACGACAACAAGCAGATCTTTCCAAGGTGTAGCCCGTATGACCAGACTGGCCGCGGCTGCGCCGTAAACTTTATAAGCGATGATCAGCACAAACGATAGAAACACTAACGGTAATAGTGTAAATATATAGGTAAAGGAAATAGCCAGAAGCATGATGGTGGTTTTGTGGCGAGTGTTGGATTTTCTGGTAAGGCGAGTTGAAAAGGAGTTCTCGTCCTGCATGGCCTTCCTAACGTGGTGAATTTTACACAGAACCATGATGTTACACACAAAGACGATTATTACCGGTAGTGTGAATATTAAACAAAACTGATAAAAATAGACGTGAAGGGCCGTGTATATGGTATACAGCTCGGGAATACTTTCACATTGTGAGTTATTATTGGTGACCATTACTAGACGAAACACCTGGGTGTAGGACATCACGATAAACAGAGACAGAATAATCAAAATGGCGCCCCGCTGGGTGGTGAAAGCGTGTTTCTTAAAGGGCATGTACACCACCAATAATCGTTCTTGTGCCATACAAACAATAATCCACGAAGACATCAAATAACAAACACATTCGGCAAAATTGAATATTTTACACGCAGTTGCTGAAAAGTTCACAAATACACCTGGTTTTCCATAATACATTAATAGTTCATTCGTCACCATCACCTCTCGGCCAATCAAAACGAGGCTATCAAAAACCGCCAGAGCACAGAGATAATGACTGTAAGATTTGTTCCGTAACGTCTTGGACTTCATCACTATAAACGACAGGCAGTTCCCTACAATACCAATTACGGTGAAAATTGGTGTGAAGATTTGATTCAAGAAAAATCCCCAAACGGCGGGTCTCTCCATAAAATCTGAAAAACAAAACCATTAGAAATATTAACATTCACAACAAACTAAAGAGAGGAGGTGGGTGGGTGGGGCAATGTCCCTTTAAGGTTGCTTATCAAATATAGATTAAAAATGAAATGAAATAAAATGAAATGAAATGGGTTTAACGTCCTACTGTTTTGCCCCGACTGGGCTAATGAAGACAGGCGTGCGCTATACAGTGTGCAATGAGGGAAATTTTCCCCGGAGAACGGCGCTAAGGCTTCCTTTTATATCGAATCCCAACTGTCATGGGATCTTTTACGTGCACTCCAATGTGTACACGGGACCTCGGGTTTTCGTCCCATCCGAATGTTTAGACAGCTGTCCTTGTCAGACCCTCCTTCCTGCACCGCTGACATGGGGAAACCACGACAGAAAGTCCCTATGAACTTTGTTAGCCAACACCAGAAACGAACCTCCAAGCTAGCGAGCTAGCGTAGATATGTTATAAATTACATACGAGCTATATAAAGCTGCTATAAATTACATAGGAATTATATGAAGCTGCTAATTTACATACGAGCTATATGAATCTGCTATAAATTACACAGGCGCTATATGAAGCTGCTACACAAACGAGCTATATGAAGCTGCTGTAAATTTCATACGAGCTATATGAAGCTGCTAATTTACATACGAGCTATATGAAGCTGCTATAAATTTCATACGAGCTATATGAAGCTGCTAATTTACATACGATCTATATGAAACTGCTACACATACGAGCTATATGAAGTTGCTATAAATTACATACGAGCTATATGAAGTTTCTATAAATTACATACGAGCTATTTGAAGTTGCTATAAATTTCATACGAGCTATATGAAGCTGCTAATTTACATACGAGCTATATGAAGCTGCTACACATACGAGCTATATGAAGTTGCTATAAATTACATACGAGCTATATGAAGCTGCTAATTTACATACGAGCTATATGAAGCTGCTAATTTACATACGAGCTATATGAAGCTGCTACACATACGAGCTATATGAAGTTGCTATAAATTACATACGGGCTAGATGAATCTGCTATACATACGAGCTATATGAAGTTGCTATAAATTACATACGAGCTATATGAACCTGCTATAAATTACATACGAGCTATATGAAGCATGTTAAAGAGGAAATACAATCACACTTCATCATGATACATTAATATCAATAGGAAAATTATCAAATTAGAACAGGAAAAAGATCGATCAATCATATAATGCCATTTATCTTCTACCTGGCGAAATTATTACTGGAATTCAAATAAGATTGCATATTTCAAGGTGAAATGGATATAATAACGAGATTTTGTCATTTCTTGAAAATGAAATAACAATATAAGAAAATCGGTCCTGACAAACCCCCGCCCCACCCCACAGTGCATTTGTTTTGTCAAAACGGCACAAATGAATTCGGAGTTATCTCTATTATCTGATGAGTATAAGAATAGCAACACTCTACTCTACGGCCTACATGACTCCAACAACGAAATTAATAACCTTATTTTTACAACAGTTCAATTTCAATTTAATTAAAAGATTTTAAAATGTTATATTACCATTATTATTACATACTATAATACTTTAGGCGTATTCAGATAAGTACGGGTTGTATATATTGTATATAGTGTATCTACTGCTTTTCATTATTAATATATAATTTGTATTGTAAATAGGGATAAGGTTCAGACATAGGCATTTTGCATATATAGTGAATAAAATATGTCTTAAAAAATGAATTATCTCTCTATTTACGTTGAAACTTGTGAAATCTTGTGACGTTGGAATTTCTAAAAAAACATTTTTTTCCAAAATACTCATTGTGGCGTAACAAAGACCTCTATCAAATATAAAACTTTTCAGAATATTTCGATGGTATATTTCGTCCCGTTTATTTTCGGATCCCCGAAATATTATGAACCTGATACATGAGGAATTTCTATTGAATTTCCAATGTTGTGATGTTAATTTTTCAGTGTCTTTTCTGTTCAGAATTTTAATGTTAAAGCTTATTCCAGAGTTCTGTTGGATCTGTTGATTTTGGATCTGATGACCGTATAATAGCTAATTATCGTGACCCATTACAGAGCCCGCATCTTCAATCGTTCTGAGCGTAAATCGTGGCAAGCATATAGTTGGTCGTAATCAAAAATTCATGGACTGCGCCCACAACGTGTCTCGTTACTGTTCGTGTTTCTAAAACCATCTTGAACGAATATCGTGACTAGCACGTTGTTTCTTGGTACAGTTTTAAAAATTTTGAACGTTATTATATTTCGTGACCTGTTACGGATATCATGAAACCTACAAACCTCGTACAAATGACATACAATTAATATTTATTACAGAGGGGTGTTTCGACTAGAATTTACAGGTTATCAAGCAAAAAAGACCAGAGAATCCTTGTCAATAAACAAAACTAGTTTTATTTCATAGAACTCTTAAGACTAGGCCATAACCCTCTGTACGTGTTTGGTAACTCGCAAACTAGCCGCAAGAAACCGGGTGAAATTTTCGTATGTTCAGGACCAAATGTCTTTACGGCCAGTCTGCGATCGATCTTCTACGGTGCAGAACACACGCAAGTGACGCGTAGGTCTAACGCACGGGTTTATTTATTTTTTCCCCGTAGACTACCCGTAGTAGCACTTACAGCGGGTTGTGAGCTAGGCTTTATATTCCCAGTTCAATTATACATGTCATAGAAAGATCTTAAAAACCTTAAAAGAACGTGAGGTTATGCATACACAATACATAATCCACTCCATCATTTATGTTTACAGGAGAGAGAGAGAGAGAGCGAGAGAGAGAGAGAGAGAGAGAGAGAGAGTCTAACGCCCATTCGACACAAACTAGGTCATTTCGGGACTAACATATGGTTCAATTTAATTTCAATAATTCGTATGCGCATAGGTTTCTGTAGCAGTGGGAGGAAACCGGAGAACCGGGAGTGAAGCCAACCCTACTCCTTGTCACCTACAACCGGGAATCGAAAAAACGCCATTTAACTTAATGACAGACCTGAGGATACAACGGACACGCGCTAACCATTCGACCATCTACCCCCCCCCCCCCCGCTCCTCTCCGACGCCCTTTACAGGAGTCGAAAAACATTTTAAACTCAAGTTTACAAGAAATGAAAACATTTTAAAACAATGTTTACAAGAGATGGAAATATTTTAACGTAAAATTCAATCGAGAGGTAAACATATATTTCAGTAAAGTTTACAATAAATGAAAACATTTGAACGTAAAATTTAGTCAAGATGAAAACATTTTAAAGTAAAGTTTCAAATGAACATATTTTAAAGTAAAGTTTCAAATGAACATATTTTAAAGTAAAGTTTCAAATGAACATATTTTAAAGTAAAGTTTCAAATGAACATATTTTAAAGTAAAGTTTCAAATGAACATATTTTAAAGTAAAGTTTCAAATGAACATATTTTAAAGTAAAGTTTCAAATGAACATATTTTAAAGTAAAGTTTCAAATGAACATATTTTAAAGTAAAGTTTCAAATGAACATATTTTAAAGTAAAGTTTGTAAGCAGGGATGATTCCGGTCATGAAAGGCTGAGAAATAGCGCATTTAAGCTGAGTGGCCCAAACGGGTCCTTTTCTCGAACCAGGGCATAAATCAAAATTTGGAACACTACGTAATTGCTTTAAAGGCTCAATACCACTCTTGTTGTAACTGAATAATATGTCCCAATCTTTATTCTGGTCAACAAATTGTACTATTTTAGAATATTTCAATTAATTGATGATACAAATTTCATCTTAACACACCTTATTTAAAAATTCTGAAATATTCAACATAATGGTTTGAAACGTCTAACGTAAACCTTTTCGAATGAAACTTCGATTTAAAAATATTTTCGAACCCTCTGGACATGTAAAATAGGATGAAATGGATAATTTACACAACAGGTAGGACACTTAAATATCTAGTACTTAGATAGAGATATTATTTATTTTCTGGAGCTTTCAAGCCAGCAAGAGTGTTATTGTCCCTTTAAGTGTCGCAAAGAACGTCCCTGGCAAGTTTCAACCAGCTCTGTTCGGACACGGCGGAGAAATAAGGCGTCAAATGAACTGTACATAAGACAAGAAAAGAAGAGAAATAAGATGGCAAATGAACTATCCATAAAAGCCGAAGAGACGAGTGAAAGAGTGTAAGACAGTCACTTTCAAAAAATAGGATTTTGGAACTCGACCATCCAGTAAGAAAGTAGTCTAAACAGGTGGGTTGACACGGAAGTAAAAATCTCTTCCTGCCGTCTTCTAGTTTATAGACCAATGGCATCCGAGAGACTCGATCATCCAGCAACTAAATGATCTAAAAGTTAAGTGGACAAGAATATATTCTATCAACTGGGTAAAAACCTATTACCCATCACCCAGAAACTAAGAATCGAAGAGATAGGTTGGCATAGAAGTAGTTTAGTAGTTTATGTAAAACACCTCCTCGTCGTCCATCAAGAAAGCATATTATTAACAATGTAAAAACATATTTCCTACCATCCAGCACATTTTAGACCAGTGACATTCAAGATACAGGACATGGAACTAAATAATCTAAAAGGTAGCTGGGTTGCAAAGAAAGTATGTTACCAACTGTGTTGATATTCTTTCAGATGTCGATAAGGTTAATATAATTACAGGGTTTAAAAGCTTTTTAAGTTTTAAATAGTTGTTAACATATTTAATGGTTGACAATAGACGGTTTCCGTAATTATCCGATTACATCTTATACTAGTTTTAACAAAATCTCAGATGTTTGTATTTAAAAGGAATCATCCACCCTTCACGCAATATCAGATAATTATATGTCAAGGGAATCACCCTTCAAGCAATGCCAGGTATCTGTGTATAACAAAATCACACAACCCTAAGCAAACGCCAACACTGACGCAGGTGCTGAATTTTATATTTAAAGGGAGTCAGCTACCCAGTCTTAGTCACAGATGTGTTTATTAAAATG